TTAGCACCTCTAGTAATATATTTACTGAGAAAAATGGTGACGTGTTCAATACTTAGTTTACCCACTGTACATAAAAAATCCAGACAAAGAGAAGCTGAGTAAATAGAAACATAGTTTGTAAATCATTTAATTTATTAAAAGAGGGAAATAGAGGCTATATAAACCAAACCAACTTTTTGTGTGCATGTGTTTTGGCTTTGGAGCTCTCCCATGGCGGCCATTTTTACTCTGTTTTTTCTTATTGTTATTCACGAACACTGAACTTAACTGAGACGAGTGAAGCCTGCAGGGCTTTAGATGTTGTTCTTGGTTCTTTTGTCCTCCAGAATAAAATGGTAAAGAGCTCTTGGGAGTGATTTTAGTCAGCCAGCCATCAATGGAAAAGTTCAGAAATGTTCTTTTTTTGTGAATAATGGTTCTTCTTATGACCAGTTCAAGTTTAACTCAGCTTTCCAAGTATTTGATTAAACCCAATTACTTTTTTCATTAAAAATGAAATCAATTGAAAAACAGCATTTTGCATTTCCTCAGGATAACAGATATAAAACTGTGTTTGCTGATCTGAAAAATGTAAATAAAAGGGGGACAAATACTTCTCTACAGCCCTTGTACATACACAACTGTTAAACTTTCTCCAGTTAAAGTTCTTAAGACAGGCTGGTTTATGCCTCATAAAACATTTAACCAACACAAACACTGATTTTTAGTCATGAAAATCATTTCTAAAAGATAAAGAAATTCACTTCATAGAAACGTATAAAAGTCCATTTATGGATAAAATGCAACTTCATCCTTTAATTCAAACAACTAGGGAGTCACTGCCATTAAGTAGAGAAASAGACTTTGATATCAGCTCTTTGCTCATATCAAAATATATAATGTATCTCCTGGGAACACAACTCAAACACACAGTTAYAATATGCAGCCTCTCCAGCTCTGTAAACTACAGCACAGATTCTTTTTATTTCATTATTTTTATTGTGGACTGGAGTTTGGCTGCTKCTCTGACTCCATTCCTTACATGCATTTAAAAAACATCCASCCCATTCTCCGTCTGTACTTCCTAATTAAGGCAGAGAGAGAGAGAACATATGAGATGGCCAGATAAGAGTTTGTAAGAAATCCAAATAACACTGCTCAGTCTCACACGGGGGAATGAAAACTTTTAGAGGTTAGACGTGTTTTTTATCACAATTGTGTCTGTAAAACTGTTCCAGTCATGATAAACTAAATTGGTAGCAAAAAAGAAGTGAACTTTCTGCACACTTAAAATACACCAGGAGCTCAGAGAAGCAGAACATCAGTCATCTGCTGCRGCGGCACGTCAAACACCCTTTGGAAGTTTCACATTTTTATCTCCCGCACATCAAAGACCCCGAGCACAAATTTGGAGGACCGGGACAGCAGCCAAGCTGAAGACAGAATTGTTTCAAAGCTTAGGAGAGTATCAGGATTTGCCACAGTTATGCATCACTTCCACTCCAGCAGGAGAAGTGTTCGAACTGGAGCTTTTAGTGCAAGACGTCCTGCATCATTCATAACAGCTGCTGGGAGAAACAGCTGATGGTTAACAGCAGCAGATTTTAGCTGATGCTTCTCTTTCAATCACTCTTAAACTAGCATTAAAGGTTTTATGCCAGAAATTTAAGCTAAAATCATGTTATAATGAGGGAATGGAGTTATGATTTGGTTAAACCTCAGGTTGTGAACGATGACGATGATGACGATGATGATGGTGATGATGATGAAGGCTGTTCTCTTGTCAGGGGTCTCCTCGTTGAGTCACCATCTATCTCACTCTGTCCTCGCTCCAACTACCTCCATGTCCTTTAACTGCATTCATACATCTCTTCTTTGCCCTTTAACACAAATATAAACACTGTCCCTCCTCAGGACATGTCCAGACACTCTAACTCATCTCCCAGCCTCTTCTGTACCTTCTGTAGTTTCRGTGCCATTCCACATTATTACAAATAACTTCATTTCTGGACATTTATGGTTTGATTTCTTTGTATGTATGGATCACTTGGGTTGTTACCGACATCTGGTAAAAAATTTCATGTCATTAGCACCTCTAGTAATATATTTACTGAGAAAAATGGTGATGTGTTCAATACTTATTTTACCTGCTGTATAGTAGGGTTGGGCAATATTGGCAAAAAAAATYAATCACAAATAATTGTGGTATTTAGCCGGTAATGATTAATCCCCTGGAGTCCCTCATATCTTAGTCACATGACCAATTTAAATCAATGTAGTGAGAAAGATTTGCTTTCCGTAAAAATCTGTTCCAAATTGTGTCTAAAGTACAGAGTTTAGGTTATACATCAATTTTTAAAAATTGTACTGATAGGCCAAGTAAAACCAGAGTCATGATAAATAAATTACAGAACTTTTTTCTTCAATGTTTGTCATATTTGAAGTGGAGAGGAGCACTAAGTGGGCTGACCGGGGACATCTCCAGTCAGTCTGCCTGCTGGTATTAATCCTAAAGAGCCAAAAAATAATCGATAAAAGGTTTTCCTGATGATTAATTGCTTAATTGCACACAATATGATTTTGCACAACCCCAATACACACAGACACACATATCAAAAACCAGAACAATCATTCAGTCTGAGGTAAAAACACCTTTTCCTCTCTGACATGTGATCTGCCTCTAAACTGAGCTTTTAAAGCTGTGACGGTTTTTCCACATGAGCTGTAAATGTAGAATCTAAACATCAGCACAAACACTAATCAATCCTCCCCRTCCTTGTTTACGTGTCAGACAATATTTACACACTGTAGCTGCAGTGGTAAACACCATTTTCTGTATGTTTGAATGAGCAGATYGAAAGACTGTCTCCATGTAAAAGGTATTTCACATTAGAGCAAACCCAACTTTGCTCATAAAGCTCAGAGTGACCAAACACTAAATGAGGATGTGCTTTAAGAGTGTGTGTGAGAAATGCATTAAGTGCTTTGAGAACAATATTTACTTTGTCAGTGCCAAATTCAATATTTAATCAGATACTGTCTACAAAGAGACTGCAGTTAGATATTGTCTCAGCTGCATTTTTTAGGCTATTTTCTGTTTTAGTCCTTAAAGCAGTGCTTTCTTTAAAACACAAGGACATTTATTCTTGCATATATTTGAATGGAGGGACTAATCTGAGCTTAAAACATTTCTTCTAAAAAASTCAATTTGTAAGAACTTTTTTAATTTCTATGTTTTTGACTAAATACCAATCAAACCCATTAAGTCTTGTCCAAACATCCTGTTTCATGAGAAAGCTYTGACTCATTTATAAGGACACTAAACTCCCTTTTTTTTGGTCACAAAAAAAAAAAAAACTGATTTGGCTTTAAAAAAAGCTTTTTGAATGAGGAAGGGGAGGTTTCAGAAACAGGAAATGCTTYACGGCCCTCCGCCCATCTCTCCATCTCTCAATCCAGATGTCAACTCCTCAGAGGGAACATCTTCACGTCAAACGGGCAGAAAAAAAAAAAACACAACACAAGAAACATTCAATGGGAAATGAGCCGCTCTGAAATGGCATCACTGCAGCTGAAGCCCGGACTCATTTACTGTAAGCACCGACGTGGCCGAGGCCACGATCGTCACCTCTCTGAGACACTGACTCTCAAACAGGCCGTGAAATGCTCTGTTCATTTCCAGCRTTCAGAGCGATGAGTGTGAGAAGATGGGGCGGGTTGCTAATCACAGATCTCCACACCTGGCAGCACCAAGTAGTCTGAATTTTTTTTAATTTTTAATTAAAAACATGAAGTCTGAAGCCTATTTATAAATGTGCTACAACTGTTCAGAGTGAAATCACATTTCATCACCAGTGGTTCCCAAACTTCCCAGCCCCTAGAGCAAAAAATCAAACCCAGAAAAGCTTTCAGACCCCCACGGATAAAACATCCAACAAGAAAATTAAATTAGAACATAATACGAACAGGAAAATAGCCTCAACAATATGTTGTTTTAATCACTTGTAGCAAATACGGCACAAATAAACTATCATTTCCTAATTTAATTTGATGTCTGGAGATCTTAGGATMCTCTTGATGTGGGTTTCAGGACCCACAGTGGAGCATCAACCCCAGGTTTGGGAACAATAACACTGCACAAATCCAATAAGTTCACTGCAAAGCCATCATGGCTTGAAACAACAGATCTGTGTGCTTTGATTTGCGGTCATTTTATTTTACTGTTTTGTAGGAGCTGCTCCTCTTTTCATGTCTGCATGCTCAGCTACAGGAGCTGCAGAGAAAGGAGTGCATGACTGCACCAATCTGGACCTAGACATTAAAGTGTCTGCGACATCAAATTTTTGCATAAACATGAATACATTTTTGGAAAGATAATATTGATAACAAATTCCAAAAAYAATTTTACACTGCTGAGATGAACAGCTGCTGAAATATTTACATGTGAAGTAACAGGAAGTGATGTCAAAGGGGAATGTCTTCATGTAAACAAGAGTGTTGCTACATCAGCAAACAACACGGACTGTAAACAAGAATCTGATGTTGCTTTAGTTTTTTTTAGTCTATCAGAAAGAGATAAAGAAGAGTCAGAGTTCAAATAATATTGTTACAATAAAAAAAGAGACCAGAGAGTTTTTTTTTTAAAAAGTTCCCCTTTGACGTCACTTCCTGTTTCACTTTGGCTGAGGAAAGTTCTGATGAAAATAGGTCAGTTATGTGACAAAATGGGTAAAATCACRTGTATTATGCCAAGTTTCTTAAATATAACAATGTTTTCTTTGATTTTGTGTTTGAGAGAGWTGCATGCCACAGGCACTTTAATGTGTTCCATCAGGTGGAGTTTACAGAGGTTATGAGCTTGTGCGAGCAGAGGTTTTATTGGATTTGTCAGCTGCCTGAGGTTTGTTCTCTCCATCTTGTTTCTGAGAGTCCCCAGCAGGCTGTCAAAAGAATCTCTACTCAGGCTGAAGTAAACCTGGACTCTGAGGTCATTKTGGACTTTCAGTCTTTGAGCTGCCACTCATCTCAAAGTTGGAAGCAATGTGTGTTTTCTGTTTTAATCTGTGGCTTATCACCCCACGTCTGTCTCATTAAATGTAAAATCATCTCTTATTGGAYGACATTGTGAGCTTAGATTGCAGGAAAAAAAGCAAAACAATCTTACCTTGCATCATGTTTCTGTAGGCGTTATCAGCTATGGCGTAAATGTGAGGAGGGACTTCGTGTCTTTTCTTCCCTTTGTACATGTCGATGATCTTCTCTGAGTAGATGGGCAGCATTTTATAGGGATTCACCACCACACAGAACAGCCCAGAGTACGTCTGAAGATAAAGTAACGTAAGCCTTTAGCAAAACATAGTATGCTTGAAGTTCAGTTTAATAAGTATATGTTTAAGTATTTCAAGTGTACAAGGCACCATGTCCATACCAAGTGTATTTCCATAAGTGTACTTTTATTTACCATGTACACTGATATAAGTAAACTAGCAGTTAACTAACAAGTATACTTCTAGGACTAAACTGGCCCACAATAAGTTTATGAAAGTATATTCAGAAATACACTGAAATTAATCTTCTAAGTATACTTTTTGTTAAATCTTGAAATCTACTACAAATAAACCAGGCTGTGTAAAAAAAAAATGTACATTCAGTGTACTAATAAAGTTTTTTGGCAAAAGTTGAAACATTAGTAAAGATTTAGTATACACTTTTAGCATACTTTTAGTACAAGTATAGTGTAAGATAAACTTGGTTAAGTATATCTCAGATACAGTAAGTACATAAAAAGTAAACTGGAAGTATACTCTTATTTATTTTTGTTTGTTTGAAATTTGTATACTTAAAAGGATATTTGCATATACTCCTTTATGCTAAGGGAGATTAGATGCTTAAAAAAGGTTTGTTTTGCTTCTGTCAGGAGGAGAGAAGTAATTTAAAAATGTTGGTTTAGAGAAAATAAAACTGCCCTTTTCCTCCCAACATCAACTTTAATTTCTACTCTGCACAGTCRGTAATTAGATTTGAGAGTGTCTTGCTGCATACTTACATAAATAAGCCCTGAGAAGTACCTCTCGCGGAGATTGTGTAACACAGAGGCCTCGTTCAGGCAGGTGAGCTCAGCCATGTCCTCCACCTTGCTGAACTTTGGCGGGTTCATCTTCTGGACGTCGTCCTTGTTGACTGTGATCTTCTTGGCGTTGTCGGCCAGCTCCACCAGCACCTCGTCGCCGCGCTCCTCCTTGATGCTGGCCGCCTCGAAGCCGTGCTTCTCCGACGGGACCCACACTAGCTTCTTGGCCGCCCAGTCGGCCTGGGCCATGGGACTGTTCAGCAGGTCTTTGTCGACGAAGAGGAACTTCTCATCCTCGCTTGGGGCCTTCTTGGACATTTTGACTTAAGGTTGGAGGGCCAGCTGTTGGAAAATACAGAAGAATAAGATGTGTTATTGTCAGGTGGATTACAGCAATACAATTAGAGGTGACAGGACATGAGTAACTGGATTAAATTTAAGGAATAAGCCTGAGCAGAACGTTAATGGAACCACGAGTGACTGGTGTTTCTGAGRGGAGAAATGTTTGCCATCCAGTTAAAAAAGTGAATATACTTCTGTTCATTGGGGAGTTCCAGAGTGCAGCCATTCTCACAGACCTCCACCCCCCTCCCAACTCCACACTTCCACAGACGTCACAGGGGAGGCGAAAAAGCACAAACCCCACCATCACCTCTACTGTAGACATGAAGATTAAGGCTGGGAAATTTGTTTTATATCAACTTCACAACATTGTGTCGACAGGTTTATTTGAAGAAAAAAAAAAGAGTGTTTTGTTCTTTTTCTCAGTCGCTGCCTAATTGATGAGATCCACATTTTCCTGTTCTTCACCCTCCCTCCTGCTAGGAGGCTGCAGAGTCCCGTGCTGCGATGACCATATAAGGGCTCCTTCTCTGGAGCAGGGCTCTTTCTGCGGACCTAAACAGCCAGGCTAGTGAACTCCCAAACAAAGCCCATATAGGGAATAGTATGTCTCCTGCTGGCTTTGTCGTTTACTGCAAAATGATAACAGCGAGGCGGAGAGGCTGAAGGGGGCTCGAGGTTTGAACAGTCATGCTTCTCGTGGGCCCCTGCTGGAATTCATTTTTAAAACGCACAAGTCAGTGGTTACATTAACAACAAGACCCTCTGTCCTGATGGAGAGCCCCCRTCCTCCAGGGGTTTTCATCTGTAGGGCAGGAGGAGTCAGCGTTCAGGATCTACACAATCACCAGATCTCAAGCTAAACAATGACAGCGAGGAAATATAACTGATTTTACACCTTTTTRCTAGAGTTCAAGGCATTTTAATTTAGCCTCTTTTTTAAATTTGCCACTATTCTTTATTTTTTTAGTCAGTCAACTTGCATATACAGTAAGTTTGTTTAATAAAACRTTAAATTCACATTGTTACTGATAAAAATAAACTTGTCTTTGAACAATGTAAACTTCCTGGATTACAGCAAATAAATCATTCCCTCTGCAGAAACCTGTGTGTATACTGAGACTGGCACTGAGTGGGAACTAAGAAAAAAACCAGTAAGTGTCCTGGGAAGGATTAAATACACCCATAGAGCAGCTGAAATGCTAATCTAGACTCCTTTGCATTTGTTAAAATGACTAAATTTGTGTTAAAGTCCAGTGACAAGTTCTATAAACACTGCACTCTGCTATCCACCGTTGTTACTTTTATTTATTTGCGCGAGCGCAGAAAAACTATTGCCTGCAGTCGCCTGTAATGTTCTCCTATGTTTCTTATGTTCTGTCTTCTTCTGAATGGGTATTCTGAACTGTAATTTCATTGTGCTCTGTACAATAACAATAAAGGTCTAATCTAATCTAATGTGCATAATTTCACATCTGATGAATGTTTCCAAAAACCTCCACTCTCATCAAGATTCAAAGAGCTTTGGTGTCAGAGAAAACAGCTGCTATCTGAAATTTTACAGTTTCACTAAAGACTGGTCTGTCCAAATATAAGGAAATGCAATAAACTGTCCAATTCCTCCTCGTTCCATTTAAATTCTGCCACTAACTCAGCTCAGTGCTTTTACAGGCCTCGTCTCTCACAGGCTGTTTTGTCAACTGAGTTTGTGCTCAGCTGAAGACAGCGGTCTAAAGTGGGTCTGACAGGTCCAAACAGACCGACTGAAACAGAAAGGCAAACAGTCAACACAAGACTATTAGCCATCTTTGCTTCTTATAAAATAGAATTCCCAACATTCCCAATAGAATTCATTTTATAGTAAGAAAAGACGATTAAAACAACTTAAGTCCAAATCTGCCTTTTATTTCACTTGGATGTCAGTTTATCCAGCTTAAGTGTTCATCTTAATTTTGTTTAAGATTTAATATATTTATATTTAATATAACTACAAACTGAAAAAAGAAATGGTGGAAACTTTCACAGAATAATCATTTATCTGTTAAAAATAACAAACTTGCCCCAGAGACTTTACAAACTTTCTATTTGAGGCAGAGAGAACTTGACCTGCAGGGCAAGAAAATGATGTCCCTCATTTCCTATCTCAAAATTGTTTCACAAGCCGCCCTCTAGTTTCCATCCATAACCCCCCCCCCCCCCCCCACACACACACACACACTCTTAATATTCTTTATGTTTTGGTTGAAGCTCTCTTGTTCACATCCCTGTAGAAAAAAGTAGATAAGATGAAATGTTATTGAATGCCAGGTGTCCATCTCTGTTCTTGTTTTGTGATGCTTTCAGAAGGTTGATGAAGATCAAAACTATGTCCACTTGGACAACCCCCCCCCCTCCCATTACAACCAGAATTAGTGTACACAGTTGCAAAAAAAACTGCTATCATTAACTTTTCTTGACAGTCTGTATCTTAAAACCACAAAGTCCAACACGTTTGACATAAACGCAACATAACACGACCATATTTGGAMAACAGGAAACACCACCAGAGTCCTGTTTATAGATAGCAAAACTTATCATCCCCAATTCTGCTGTGGTTTGTGAGCAGGACCAGTTCTAAAGTTTATCCAGATGGAAAAAAAACATTAAAAACACCTCTTTTTGGAACCCACCCCCCCAAATAAATAAATAAATAAATAAATAAATAAATAAATAAATAAATAAATAAATAAATAAATAAATAAATAAATA